ATACCAACGTGAGTTTTAAACAGACCAATAATGAGAATTATGTCGATTTAATTGTCCAGTGTTGTGAAAAGTTGCTTCGTCACTAAATAAAAGAAATCTGAAAAATGTTCGATGACAATTTAACATTATTTCTGCCCACCTACAAAATTCTAGTCTTTGTTGAAAATCATTGAGTGTTAATTGTGTCAAAGTGATATGGTAAGTATGGAAGTGGTCCTGTGACTTGTTGATTTCGGAATACCTAATTCTCTTTCGATTTGCTTCGTTGACAGGCGTGGATTGATAGCTACCATTCCCAATACGGCAAGTACTGTTGGATCATCCCTTTTTGGTACATTAATATGACGTCTTTGTCGTTTTTGACGTTGACGTTGTCGTTGACGCAATACAAGTCTGGAAATCGTACAATGATTTGGATGTCGTCTATGAGGAAATCGATTACGGTACAGTACCGCTGCTTGTCGATAATTATTATGGCATTCTCCAAGTACCAGAACAATATCAATAATTTCGTTCAAAGTATAATCCGGCATTTTGCGTACATTAAGTTACAAGATAAAGTAAGAGCCGATAGATTTAGTATCCTGGTTGATATTGGACGACTAAGACAAATTTACGCATTTACGGATCATTCTTTGCCATCAGTCATTATGGATCAGTCCCGGTTGGATGGACCGATTAAGATAGAAAATGTTGCGTGAGTATAAAGTTCAGCGCAGAATCAGTTGCCCTTTTCGGCCAGATTTCTGAGGAGACGCCTACTGTCCTCCCACTTCCACTCCAGACTTTACGCCCGAGCCGCCGATCGCGCTCGTAACGCTGAGCCTCAGGAGCGTCCGTGACGAATACATTAGGCCCGTATCTTCCATGAAATTTTTAATTATTTAGCAAAACTTTTTTTGCTAAATAATTATTACATTTACAAATAATAACTTTTATGTTTATGAATTTAACGTACAAAAATTTATTATTAAAATATTAAATTGTGTAGAGTAATTACACAGTGATAATCATAGCACATACAACCATTAACTTTATTAGGAAACCTATTTCTTATAATTCATAAAGAATTAAATAACATCACACATTTTTAGAAATATTAATATTTATTCCCTAAAGTTTAAATGATATTTATTCTTTTTCACTGTTATAACTTAACTAGTAGTTAACGAAAAGTAACTTAATTATAGTGTTTTGGAAAGCTCTCGAGATGAGCTATAAGAATGTACAATGAGAAATAAGGGATTCCATTTAAAAAATTAAAGGTGACCTTCATGTGACCTTCAGAGGACTATCCAAGGTGAAATCGATGGCATCTTATGTCCCCCTTCGAGTCAAACAACTTTTGTCTGAAACATTTTTGTCTACTGGGTTTAGTTTTCGAGATATTTGGCTGGATCATTTAAAATGGGACACCCTGTATATTATATTTTTGTAGTTATTCAAACTGCGCGCCGAAATTTTTCCGAACTTTATCTAACGCATTAAACTACCGCAATAATATCACAAGTTAAATTAAATTGATAATGTGCTGAAAACCTTAAATAAATTTATTGCGACGCAATAATATCACAAGTTAAATTAAATTGATAATGTGCTGAAAGCCTTAAATAAATTTATTGCGAAAAATATTACTTCGGACGGGACTTGAACCCGAATCTCTTGTATTCCCTACGAGCGTCCTAAGCCATTAGACCGAGGCCTTAGTAATATTTTTCGCAATAATCAGTATATGTAAGAACAATAACGCTTTTTTGCAGGCAGCGTATATAACCAATATTAAGATTTTTTTATTCGAGGTATTTATCGCAATAAATTTATTTAAGGTTTTCAGCATATTATCAGTTTAATTTAACTAGTGATATTATTACAGTAGTTTAATTGCGTTAGATAAAGTCCGGAAAAATTTCGGCGCGCAGTTTGAATAACTACAAAAATA